AGCTGGAAGTTCTTATCAGGCATATTCAGGACAGACAAGGAGCCAAGGTGAGGAAGGGAGGCTACGACTCTTGAAGCCCACCTCCAATGACATGCTCCCTCCAGCAAAGCCACACCTCCCAGAGACTCTACGACATCTGCTGCAGGCCTCCATACACACATACACATATATGCAAGCATGCACACACATGCACACTCACATGAAGTAGATAAAGGAAATAATTTAATTAAGACAAAACTCCTCAATTTCTCCACAATAAGAAACTGGTTAAGTAATATATGTTACATGGACATATGATATAATGTCTTTAAAATGGGAAAATGTTTACATGCCACAATGTTAGAGGAAGTAGGACATTTTATATATATATATATATATACATATTATATATACATATATATGTCCATTTGTTCCAACATGCCCTTTGATGTGGGTTCATCCACTAGAGCCTAGTCAATTTATTCAGCATCACACCCTTAATGAAACTGACTGTGTATGTATATATACACACACATACTACAGATATAAATAGGACATTATGAAAGTATGACATATACATATAAAATATACAAAAATACCATATGCAGTTAATAAAACAGTAGGTTATATATGATGCTGATTTCTTTTGATCCTTTATAATTAATTTTTTCTTAGTCTACAAAATACTGGGCTTCAGTACGACATTTTTGTACGTGTGTCCTTGCTCCTTGATCATATTTAGCTCCTTACAAATTTATATCTTTTAATATTTTTAACTTCATTACAAATGATTTTGCATAGAACATTCAAAGTTTGAGTTCATGGGATCTGTATCTGAGGGCAAAAATCAAACAAAATGGTTCAAATTTAGAAAATGTGTGTGATTTGCTGGTACTTTATAACCTCAATTCAAGTGTGAAAGTCACCAATGAAATGATATATTTAATTCCATTTTTATATTCTCTCCTATATTACAAAAGTAAAGAATCATTTCACTATTGACAACTATTTTATTCTTTTAATGTCTTATAATACGTATTTAAACTGATGAATTTTTATATTTATCTCTGGAGAATATAATCAGGAGAGACAAATGTATTTTTCTTCTAATCATTTACTCAACAAACATATTTGGATTTTACTTGGGATGTTTAACTTAGTGGTGGGTAATCAGAATACTAAATACTCAATATTTAGAAATCCAAACTTTGTATCCAATCTGTATTTGTATCAAAAACAAGAATTTGTTAAATTTAATCAATCAGCAGCATCAGCATCAGTATATTTAAAATAGTGTAACTGGTTAGGGGATACTGAGTATATTTAAAATAGTGTAACTGGTTAAGGGATACTGAGTATATTTAAAATAGTGTAACTGTTTAGGGT